ACTTCCGAATGGCCTCAAATGATTTCCAAAAATTCCCAAATTAAAATATGTTATACGTCAAGATATTGGGAACAACTTTCATGAAGAAAATTTCCTCAAATTAGGCCCACAAAATTTTCTACGTAAATAGTAAACCGGGTGGGTACAGTAACCGCGAATCCGCGATTCACCCCGAACCTCACGGATTCAAACCCGAACCGATTTCTACCGAATTCCAACCGCCAAAACTCATTTCCCGACGTCTAATCCAACCCGCAACAACCACTAACAGCCATACTCAGCCACCAATAGCCATGATCAACCACCAATAACCATGATCAACACCTTAATCAACCTCTAATCACCCCAAACCGCACCCAAACGAGTCCGAAAAATACCCGACGTCCTAGACGAGGTTTAGGGAGCGACTTACCCGAACTCTAGACTAACTCGGCTAGAGCGGCAAGGGGGAACGGCTGGCCGGCGGCGATCGGCGGTGGCGGCTTGCTCCGACGATGCTCCAGCTATGATCGGCGGTCCAAGGCCGAGAGAGAGATGAGAGGATTTTTGGTGAGGGAGAGAGGGAGAGAGTTCTCTGTTGGTGGGGGGGGGGGGGGCTGCCGTGAGAAGAGAGGGAATGAGGAGAGAGAGAGGAGAGAAACAATTAAATATTTGGTCCAAGGTTTGACCAATTTCTTCCTTAATTCCAATTTTGCCCCTAAAACACTTGGTCTACATTCTTCCAAACCAAAATATCTAAGGGCGTTTTTGTCCAATATTTTGGGGCTGATATTTATCCACACTTAATCCCCAAATTCAATTTCCAAAATCCCCAAAATTCGGAATACCCAAAATAGGCCTAGGGGCAAAATCGTAATTTTCCGGTTCCGGGGCGAAATTCCAATTTTCGCACATACGTGTTCCATATGTGCGTGGCCAACATAATATGGCGTCAGAATCGCGAAATTCACTTTCTAAGTCCTCGAAAATCGACTGAGAAGTTCCGGGAATAAAATAATATTATTTTTCCAATTTTTGTCGAAATTCCAATTTTTGGCCAAAATCACTCTAAATGTGCGTGGCCACCCCAAAATGACCTTGGCCACGAAAAATAACCTCAAACGGCCTCCGAATCCAACCTCGGTGCCCACAGGGGCAAAACTGTAATTTTTCAGTCCCGGGCCGAATTTCCATTTTCCAACCATACCAACCCCAAATATCGTTGGCCACACTAAAATGACGTCATCCTCGTAAAAACAGTCGCGCACGACCCTGAAAATCGACATCCAAGTCCGGATCCAACTTCACGATCAAAATCGCCCAATCTCAATTTTAGGGTCTCTCACTAACGGGCGGCTGTTTAGGGATTACGCGTATCGACCTAGGGTTATTCGAGTTATGGCGACCTCGATCGTCACCGAAGGTCGACTCATGATCGAGTTCTTAGGTCCACGTACATTTCCCTAGGTAGCCATTCCCTAAAGGTTAGTATTCCGAGAATGATCAATTCCGGGCGAGACTTACTAAAATGAAATGAAAAATAACATCTATTTCATTGATTCCGGAAATAAGTCGAAATTCAGGATGTTACAAGTATAGAAGACAAAAACCATTTATTCTTTGAATGCACATGGACCGACAACTTATGGCATAATATCCTGGCACAAAATGGAATTTGGTGTTCAGCGGGATGTTGGAACTTAGAACTTCAATGGATGATTAGGGCCACCAAATGCAAAAATTTGGAGGCGAGACTCCTCAAGCTATCTTTCTTAGCGACTATCTATTGCATTTGGATGGAACGCAATCACATACGATTTCAAAACAAGTCAGTTGAGGCTCATCTTCTGTTAGCTATGATTCGTAAGGCTATAAGGGGTAGGGCATCACTCTACCAAAATTATAGGCCTTCTCAAGCAAATGTTTTGTTGGCTACTATATGGAGGCTTCCTTCCTCCATCATCTCGCATAATTGGTCCTTTTTTCTTGTAATGCTAAGAGATTTTTTCTGAGCTTTTGTACCTCATCTGATTAATGATATTCACATATTTATACAAAAAAATTGTCCTTTTTTCTATCAACATAATATTTAAATTCATATGAAAAAGTACCTAAAAAAATCTCATTTTTAATAGATAACCACTTATATATCTCCATCATCCCGCATAATTAGTCCTTTTTTTTGTAATGCCAAGGGATTTTCCTAAGCTTTTGTACCTCATCTGATTAATGATATTTACATATTTATACAAAAAAAATTGTCCTTTTTTTATCAACATAATATTTAAATTCATATGAAAAAGTATCTAAAAAAGTTTCATTTTTAATAGATAACCACTTATATACCTCTATTTTTTAATATATCAAATACATACCTTAATTTTACCTTTGGAAACCACTTTACAACCTCACATCAATCATTCTTGTGTTCTTTTTTTCTTTGGTGCAAAATATCAGTATTATAAAACAGATGAAATATAACATCTTATGAGCATCCCCCAACATTACAAATAGTGCTAATAATTCAAAAAGATGGAGGTAGAAAGTCTCCACTTAGTAGCCAATACAACATTTGTTGGGAAAAATCTAATTTTTTTTATCTCCACTCTACCAGGATAAGGACACTACAAGTGCCATAATTTTTGTGCGGCGCTCACTTAAATGCCATAGCTTTTTTTTTCAACCATTAAAGTGCCATAACTTCTAAAAAAAATGTTCACTTAAGTGTCACAACTTTCAATCAACCACTTAAGGGCCAAATTTTTTTTCAAAAAGTTCATCCAAGTGCCAGAAATCCGACATGGCATGACACTTGTAGTAAACGTTTTTAAAAAGGTATGTTACTTAAGTGATCGATTGAAAAGTTAAATGGCAATTAAATCATCAGATAAATAGTTATGGCACTTAATTGAGCGCCGTACATTAGTTATGACACTCAGTTGATCGAAAAAAAAAAGTTATGGCACTCAAGTGAGCACTGTACAAAAGTTATGGCATTTGTAGTGTTCTTATCCCTCACTCTACATCTTACATTTTTACACACCTTAGCCAAAATAATATATATGTCAGTTAACTTGTTTTGAAACTATTTTCGATTGCGCTCCATCCAAATGTCATAAATGGTAATCTTATGCAATCTTTATCGATATTTTTTGCATAGGAAACAAATCAAACGTTGACAAATGTTCATGGCAAGAGATAATCAGCAAATCAGAAAAAGAAAAGTATTAAATATTCAAACATCATTCAATCAACTCAAATTTGGTGACAAATAAAACTACCCTTATCTTGGGGCTTAAGGATTAAGTTGCCGATTTTCCATGCTGTCGATAATCCTATCCCATTGTTGTAGATCGAACTACTGACCATGTACACATTGTCAAATTAGGAAATAATCATAATTGGATATGCCTTGAATCACAAGAATTCAAGTTAGATCACAATATCATCAAATTAGGAAATAAATCAAATATTCAAATTTGGTTTGAGATAACTACCTAATTTGGAAGATTTGGTTTCCAACTTTGTGACCGTTGAATTACGGGACGGCGGCCAGCAATAGACTCTCGATGATGATGAGGTGCTCAGCCCCGGTGGACTCTTGATGAGGGGCTCCTCAACTTGGACTGCTCTCTATGAAGATGCTCGTGGTGGGGGTGTTGCTGGCATGCGGTATGGCTTGGCCTCCATCGATTATGGCCATGGGTGGTTGGTAGGGACTCTCGGTTAACCCGCAAAACAGAGAGACAAGCACCGTCTTTGTCTCGGAGGAGGGGATCAGCAGCAGGCATCGGGACAAAGAGCAATAGGGTCGGGAGAGAGAGTAGCAAGGGTCTCGCTATTGGCGTGCTCAGTACAGTGCTAGAGCTCGTCATCATGGCTAACGCCAAGGAACTAGCGAGGATCGGCGACGGGGCTGAAGCTTGTCTATACAAGGTTGGTCTACGTTTGGATAGCAACTCGACGGGCCAGCAGCTCGGCTCGTGGATCGTCGTTGATGAGGACAGCAAGGTCGTTGATGAGTCTCGAGGTGCAGTAGTTTCTCATGATTAGACCTTATTAATGCACTGGGCTCTAATAACCCAAGGCCTTTCATTGATTAAACTTTAACGGGCTAACTTTGACTGAACTAAATTCAATAAAGCCTCCCCTCTCTAGTAGATTTCAGCCAAGGCAAGGTGCATGGACTTGGCTAAGTTAAATTTCGCTTATGGCCTCAATTAACCTGAAAATTCTTAATAAATTTTAGCCCTAATCATATGGGCTAAAACTATCTCAATGAAAGCTCAGAACCTTGTATTTTGGCTTGGGCTTTACGGCCACCAACACTCCTCATGGCATGGCCGAATTTTTCCCTTCCTCACGGGCTTGATCCATATAATTCAATTAAGCTCAGAACCTTAATCCACCACCAGTCTAATTAAATGCTTTTTTTTATGAATTTATCTATATGCCATGAAATGCTCCTAAAAACTACATGCAATTTAATGATAGTTATTTTTGCTGGGGGCCGTGGTCGATCCGTAGTTTGCATGTTAAATTGATTAAATCAAAACCCAAAAATTGCGGTTGGTATGGGCTTAGGAGAGTCCGTCCTAAGTTTTTAGGCTTAGTAATCCATTAATTTTCCCTTTGGTGAGGTCGTGACAATTACGACCAAATATAATCGGAGAATCGATTCCCTAGTGCACTTAAAAAGGTCCCCGTAAGTAACCACAATCGAACCAAGAAAATGTGGCACGCCTAAGTTTAAGATGTAGACATATTCGTTTGCAATGCGCGTTGTACTAAAATATGATATTTTTTAGCCTAGTTACAGAGATAAGAAATAGGCTTTGATTTGTCTGTCTCTTGTCTTTAGGATCCGAAGACCAAGCTTGTGCTTGATGTTTGAGTATTTATTTTCGAAAGAAAAGGTACAGAAATGCTAGATTATCTTCTCAACTTCCCCATCCAATAAAAGTTGCAAATGTTTTCACACAAAATCAATGAATTTGTAGACTACCGTTGGCACGAAAATGTTCACAATTCAAAATTTGATAAAGGTTTAACTGCGCGCCTGGACGTGTGGCTTGAATCCATATGTCTTTAATTAGACCTTTTTAGCTTTGGAAGAGCAAGCTGTTCTAGCTGTTCTTGTCTTTACACAAGTAGGGTAAGGCATGACCTTTTAAGAGTATCCTTCACTTCCAAAATTCTATGAGTCTGGATTCAATCCCAAGCCAATGAAGCCATATAACTCCTCAATAAAAGGAAGGATTAAATCATGAGAATGTCATTTTGATGATCTGAAAACCATGACAAACATGAAAATTAGTGTGCAGTGCATGCTGATCTCCCGTTTGTCGAGGCTACCGTGGATATGGCTCGGTCACAGAGACCTCATTTTTTGAGTGGTTGTTCGATCTGCTTCTTGATCTGTTGGCCTCAGATACGCTCGAACTATAATCTTGCGTAGATGAAATATCCGATTCAGCGCCACTATGTATGAAGAATGCGGGTTGAGATGGCACTTGGAGAGTGACTGAGTGGCTGTTAAGCATCAGCAGGACCGAGGCCATTGTTGGCCGGTTAGCCGCGATTTCTTGGACACATAGTAGACCAATGTGGATGCACCTTGCGATTTCGGTACTTGAACCAGAAGTTATAGAGGGATCGATGATGTTTGATATTGTTCCTTCCCTCCAACTCTTCCAAACCTGCAAGCATTTGATCAACATTGAGCAAATTGATCTCCGAAACATTATGCGAAATGAGAAGGTATGTTTCTATACTCACATAGCTTGTAAGAACCTCCGTGTTATCACCCACACGGAAAAGATTGTTCTTCTGACCACTCACAATCTCTAAAACCAGTACTCCGAAACTGAAGACATCGGACTTGACAGAGAAGTTTCCATGCATCGCATACTCTGGTGCCATATATCCACTGTACATCAAAATATGTCCATTTTATTAGCCCCATAGTTTCTTTTTTTTTTTTTTGTCTAGATTAGCTCTATAGTTTTCCTTTGTTATTTTGGTAAGGATTAGATATAGGAGGTTGTAGCACTTACTAGGTCCCCACTATTCGGTTTGTCTCTGCTTGAGTTTGGTCCAACTCGAACAGCCTCGCCATACCGAAATCCGATATCTTAGGATTCATGTCTAAGTCCAACAAAACATTGCTGGCTTTGAGGTCCCGATGGATGATACGAAGTCGAGAGTCTTCGTGTAGGTAAAGCAGTCCTCGAGCAACACCCATTATTATCTTGTGACGCCTATCCCAGTCTAGATTCGCACGCTTGAGGGGATCTACACATTTTGTTGAAAATCACATTCTATTAGACGTCCCTTAATCATTTCATGAGTATCTGATTTCAGGAATGACAATCCGAGAAACATACTGAAAATGAACTGATCAAGGCTTGAATTGGGCACAAACTCGTAAATGAGAAGCCGCTCGACTCCTTCCAGACAAAAGCCTAGGAGCCTGACCAAGTTCCTATGTTGTAGCCTAGCTAGTAACATGACCTCGTTCTTGAATTCTACTTCTCCTTGGCCTGAGTTCCGCGACAGCCGTTTCACTGCGATTTCTTGTCCGTTGGAGAGCCAACCCTAAATTTTCGTCAAAGTTGGTCCTTGTGAGTATCGATATGTAATTGAAGCAATTCGAAGAGTATCAGATGCTTTGTTAGTTAGTACCATGTAAACCGCACCAAAACCACCTTGTCCAAGCTTCTTGGAATTAGAGAAGTTATCAGTTGCAGCTCTAATAGTCCTGAAATCAAATTGCAGTGACTCCGCCGTGCTAATTTCATCCTCAACTTCACCTAGAAAGAGAAAAACACGGTCATTCAGAGCAAACATCATTGTCCTTTCATAGTTTTCGTAATGAAACGTTCACAAACTTTTAGTAAGTATAATTGCACCTGCAAGCGTCACTAATTAACTTGCTATTTTGGCCTGCTTAATCGGGCAATGTCAACAATTGACAATGAGAAATGCGCACATGAACAGGTACGAGCAGTGCATGTATGTAAAAATCGAAATATCAATTCCATGTTCCGGAATTCTCAACCCAATTTGTTAAAAAAAAAAATGGCCTAATTGTCACTATTGTGCTGGTGCAAAAGCATTACAATTAGTTAACTTCAATTATTTTCATGGTCGTTTTTAACCTCATGAACAGTCGCTGTTCCAATGCAAAAAGATAAAGACTCACCTTCAACTCTTTGTCTGGGCTGCTGCTTCTTCCTTTTCACTACCAGGAGTATGGCAACGCCGATAAAAAGTACCACAGAAACACTTGCGGCGACTGCAATGATCACAGTCTTCGTTGAATTGCTCTTTCCACCTGCAAAAGCATAGGCACATTATGTTTACGATCATTGCCAAGTCTCGTTGGAGAGTATTAACATTTCAGAAAGATCGCATTATTCTCCATAATTTAAAGTTTTTGGGTTTAACCGTTTACCTTTTCAACTTCAAGTCCATTACTTTCATGAATTTCTTACGGAAATCTGGGTAATGACAGTGCAATGGTTTATAGGAACCGAGTGGAGCAAGGAACAACCAGGTTTGCAAATGTTCTGGTCAAAACTTTCTGCAGAGTTATTAGATGCTCCCCATGTGCACATATGGGACCACTATATACATGAGGAGCACCAACGAAAAGGATAAATAGGAAAATTAATTACAATTTTTTGTTAATTTGGGTTAGAAGAACCGTAACAGAGTAGTATATATCTCTATTTTCTGTATTTGCGAAATATAAGAAATAAATAATAAAGAGGAATTTCTTTCCCAACTCAATCTAGAGAAATGCTATACATAATTAGAGAACTAATTGGAACCCTCTTATTAAGTGATTTTCCGATTTTTTATTGGTTGTCGATTATTAAATGCAGGGATTGCACTTATTTCAAACCCCAATAAAAATTCGCCACGCCATTTAGTGACAGGATTTGGGCAAAACTTCTTAGAATGTCTAATATCACTAATCAATATTATCATAAGTAACTTCATCTTCGGACGACCAAACGCAATTAAGGTAAGTTTTAGCCTCTCTTTTCCATTGACTTCGGATGTTATAAAATCCTAGTAATAATCTAAGATCTCTTCGACCAAAAAAAAAAAATCTAAGATCTCATGTAAGTGCGTGTCACCGATGTTTCAATTATGCCTTCGTAATTTTCATACCCTTTTGTTTTATTTTTAAGAAACTTTTTGCATTTATGTTAATTTACGAACGGTGGTATAGGATGATGAGAAGTAGTGAAGATCTGCTACCGATTCATTATCCTTAGCCTAGACTCACTTTATTATTCAATTTTAAATTCTCATAGGACGGCTTGTGAGCTATGTATGCCATGAATTGCGCTTCAATGAACTGGCTGTAATAGTTGGGTAATGGCCATGTGGATGCATCAAAGATGAGAGATATGAACCCACATCTTCTTTGGCCGAAAGTATGGACCAACGCACACTTACTTTCTTGCAACAAACAATTTATCCAACGTACCGATCCAAACGAAAAAAAAAAATTGCATGATCTAAAAAGCATGTAGATTAAACTCATTTGAACGATTGATCATGTAAATCTCACGTGGAACTTGCATAATTAATTATAGAAGAAAGAGACATAATCGCCTGGTATCTAACTCCTAAACAAGAACCAACGTACCTGGTGGTGGAGGCGGCGCATCGGCCACCGGTGGCGGCTGTGCGGGGGGCGGCGGAAGTGGCTCGCCGACCGGGTCGAAGAACTGAGCATTGGTCTCGTATCGGAATTGGCAACTCGGTGCCATGATGTTCACTCCTAACTTCCCCGCACAGCACTGCCCGAGTTTTGCGATGACTGTCAACAGGCAGTCGTTGCATTGCTGCTCTGTCAAGTCCGGCGTGCACTGCAGCATTGCGTAGATGGTGGAAAAATTCACTGACGTGTTCCCCGTTGCGTACTTCCTCAGCGAGCCGCCAGTTGCCGCCTTGCCCCGCAGATCGTCCAGCAGCAGCTGCAGTGCCGCGTTGTACGTGTCCGGGCTCGTGACGTCGTTCACGTTGGACAGCAGGTTGCTAGGGTCGGTCATGACCGTGTCAAAGATCGAGGCGTTTGAGTACCGGACTATGCAGTTCCCACTGTAGAGCACCGCCTCCTTCTGGAGGGGGCAGAGGCGGTGGATGTCAGAGGCCGAGGCGTTGAGGCAGGTGCGGCAGCTCTCGGCAGTGAGGTCGCCACGGCAGGAGCCAATGACGTACAGGGTTTGGGAGGCGCCGGAGACGGCGGCAGAGTCATTGAAGAAGCCGTAGGTGAGGGGCAAGGAGTTGGTGGTGGAGATGGAGGAGAGGAGCGTGGTGAGGGTGGTTTGGTAGGTGCTGTTGGCGGTGAAGTTGCCGGTCGAACCACAGTGGGGCGCTGGGAAGAAAGTTTGGGCGTTAATGGCGGAAACAAAGGTGAGAAGAAGCAAGAGGAGGAGATTTGGAGGACACATTTCTTTCCCGTTTCTTTGGTGTTTCCGGTCTTTCTTAGATTAATATCGATGGGCTAATAATTTGTGAATATGTAGTTAGTGTAGTTCCTACACAAGTTGCTTCGTCGAAATCTATTTCGTCCACGACTTTTATTTTGGGGTGGGGGTTGGGGCGGCTTGAATTTTCATACCATTGAAATCATTGAATCTTTCTTTTTCTTTGCCAGAAAACGAGTGATTGACCGTAAGGAGGTCAAATGAATACTTTTTGATGAAAGTATTATTCAACGTTTGTAAATTTCTACTTTTTGAGAAAAGTCTGAACCGAATGGAGGCCAGATGACCTTTTTCTTTGCCATCCGTTTTCACATTTCTCATAGTCAAGCTGCTCTTATTGTCTTTCATATCTATCGGCTAGCACTGAAGGCGAACTCGAAGTACCATGGACACCGTGGGGGGAGCAAGTCACGAGCCATGGTAGAAAGAATGGGGAAACACGAAACTTTGCTCAGTCACCAACTTCGAAATGTTGATGTTGTCTTTGCCAACTTTTTGAATGTAATTGGATTAGTTCATCCTCAGGTATATCTCAACCTTACTAGTAGATGACAGAGAAAGCCAGTGGGATATATTTCTTTTTTACAGAGCAATGAACATACAATTTTCTGGGCACTATTCAACGAGCGCGCTATCTCCATCCATAGGGTGGAGTTTGTCATATGGAATCGATTGGTATATGCATTTTACATATTCTAGAGCCAATTCCCCACCATTGCCAATATCTACTCAATTTGGACCACCTCACATAACCCAAAATGTTCGTAATATGGAACAAGCAGAGTTTTCAAGTTCCTTCAACGTGAACCGTGAATCCAAGACATTACACACACAAAAATAGGTGGAATGTTCTTATACCATTTGAGGGATTTTGCCTTCATGGCCAATGTCGCTTTATCGAAGAAGGAACCGTCCTCATTGTTTGCCAATTTCACTGACATCTTATATAGGAATAAAACGGGCGGTTGCTTGACAGATAATCGCTGGACCAAGCATCCATTGCATCCTTGAAAATCTGCAAGAAGTCCCTACAGACTTCAACAACCCTCCAATCTTGTTGTTTCAACGATGAGAGACCGACACTTTTGCTACGAGGGGTGGAGTACAACGTCTACATTATTCTTTCACGACAAGTAAGTTGGAACGTTTAACGAGTCTAGAGAACCTTCAAACTGGTCAACTGACAATAGTCGAAAAACGTTTTTAAAGATGTTATCATTAGCCTTTTCTTTTAAATTTCCACCTACTCGTTCGATGATCATCATTAGGTCGAAAAACTTGTGTTTGAACGAACTCAAAGCGGTGTTCCAGAAGCGAAGTATGGACTTTGGTTAACATCATATTTTCAATATCAACATCAAATTATTTGTGTAGGGATAATACTACACTATAAATCAAACTCGTACTTACCTAGATTTTGAACACTTGCCCCTATAATTATATGAAATATTCAACAACGCGCTACGATTAATAATAAACTATATATATGTTCCCTCGTATACCAAATTTTTTTTACTCCTCTCGAATTGTTAATAATTTCTTGTTACGTGAATTATCATGCCCACATAGGGTCGACCTCGCCGACCCTTGCCTCTGGCCGATCGCCGGAGAAAGAAGGAAAGAAAAAAAAAAGAAAGAGAAAGAAAAGAAAAAAAATAAAAAAATGAAAAATAAATAAAAAGTAAATAAAAATTCGAAAAAATATTAAAATATTATCAAAAATTATCCATGTTAGCACTGGGCGCACCACGTAAGATGAGCGGCATCCATGTTAGCGATTTCCTATTAAAATTGACCGAAAAAAAGGGTTTTGGACTGAATTGGGTTTATGACTTTTTTTAATAATTTTCTCTGTCCACATAAGTCTGTTGTTGTAGATCTTGACTTCTGTGACGACCCATTTGTCTTTGTCTAACACCAGTCCATTACTATTCCGTATATACTTTAAACAATTGGTGCGAAGGTCAAGAGTATAAGTTTATATATAAAACATGATAGAGATTGGAGTAGATTAGGACAATAGCGAAAGGAAACGACAGGATCTTCGAAGTTGACTTTTACCTGCACGGATTCTTATGGCCCTGGTCAAAGAATATCGTGTGCTATGTCTTCTTCTCAGAATTTAATTATTCACCCACAGAAAAATTGTCTAAAACATTTTAAATTTATTTTACTTTTGCCAATTCAATTTTAAATCTTTTAATTTTGTCAATTCAGTCATAAAACTTTTTTTTTTCGTTTGGCAATTAAGTCCATCAAGTAAGTTTTAACATAAAATCGCTGACGTAGACACTGGTAGTGCCACGTAGAACGGCTAGAACTAATGTGGACAATATTTAATAATATTTTATTTTATTTTCAAAATTTTTAATTAATAGTTTCTTCTTCTTTCTTTTCTTTCTTTCTTTTTCTTTTTCTTTTTTTTTGTCTTCCAAGTCCGGCCACAATCTCAATAGATTTAAGACTTTTTGGATAATTTTCTCTAACAGGTGTCGCAGACCAAAGCAAATAAACTAAAATATAACGTTTGACTGTTATATAACATTAACTCCACTAATAATGCACCATGCGGTCCACTATGATTTCATATTCACTTTAAACAATTGGTACGAAGCTTCAGAGTATATTACATAACGTCGTCTTATAACCCGATGATAGAGATTGGAGTAAACAAAGGACAATAACGACACTGAACCGTAGAAGAATTTCTTAGTATTGTCGGATACGCGCTTTGACTTTTTCAAATTCTAAATAGACGAGATTTTCATAATATGTAATGGTCGACATATAAATTGGACTATACAGAATTTATTCATGATTTTTTTTTGGAATTTAGATATTTCCTTAAGTTTCGACGGGGCAGTAAAAAAAGTACGTTTTACTTGCAAATTCCATCGGGGAGGGTGATCTTTGGGATGGACAATATTTTTCTTATCAGCTTAGAAATCTATTCTTATGAAAAGAATATGTAGGATTATTACAGCATAATTGCTGGGAAAAAACCAAAAAAAAGAAAAGTGGAAACTATCTTTAACTTTGACGGATTGACCGAGAATCAAAGAAGCCTAGTGGGTAGTGCCAGTGGAAATGAGAGAGCACGCGATACGGTAGAAAGACGACCGCAAATTCTCTGGAGCAAGAATTCAACATAGAAGACTTCTGATATGAAAGGGAAATAACTTGCAAATTGAATGGATCAACCGTATATTGAACTCCTAAGGTGTAACCTTGACCCGAATTTCGATTTCCAGTCGGCTATTAACCACTGATGATAAAAGTTTGCTATTTAGTTCTCTACGAACCATTGACAGCAATGTCGACGGCGAAAGCCGGGAGATGCGCGTCACCCGGGTGGTGGGGGCGGGATGGCCGTGAGGAGGGAGAGATGGGTCTTGCGGTTTTTCTTGTTTTGGCTAGAAATTGGTGCATCGGTGTATTTTCGTTTTTCTTGTTCAAGTTTGCTCTTTTTGTTATGTTGACACATTGCTAATTAAAAAGCTTCATGATTGATTGCGCGCGGCCGAGCAGCGGCATTAACGCGCATCACTGGAGAGGGGGGCGGGCTCTCCATAGCTCATTAGCGAGGGCCGTCCGGCAATGGCGGGTGGCGGATGCCCACCCTCTGAAAATAAGAAAATCAACTTCGTTTTACTTAGTTTTGCTATTTCCCTACACTCCGTTGGGAGAAGATATCAGCACATCATATTGTTATGTAGTGTGGAGCGACATAAAAAAAAAAAAATGGCTTTCGGAGATTATACTAGATCGTGAATACAAGTTATTATGGAGGAGAGAGAAGCTAATAAATTACTTGAATAGCTTGATTTGTACATCATGTTAGATGATGAAGTAACATATGCGATCCTGAAGTATTTTCTTAAAAAAAAAATGGACTCTATAGAGCAAACTGCGTATATCAAAAGCTTGAATTTAAGTATTTATTGGTTTGTGTGCTGTGCAGGGTGTTCCATGGATTTCCAGGTCCATGAGTCTATACCCTCATATTATAAAAATAAACAAGAGTTTTCGTTCTATATTTTACCGTTCCACCACATAATCTCTGGCTAGATTTCTGATGTGCCAAGAGTTTAGACCTTTCAAAAGCATAAACTTATCTTAAAACAGCAGCTCGCATCGTCTTACTTCCACTTTCAGCTTCGATCCTTCGGTAATAATATCATCTAGGGTGTGGATCCGTCATGGAAGCTTCGTTTATTGATGTCGGTGATGAGCGATGAACAGCGGCAGTCGACATTTCTCTACCACTGGCATCTGTCAAATATGCAGGCCGTGTCGGCATTGGGAGGGTCGTGCTCTCGCTCCCGAGCATTAAAACCACCGAAGCCATGGTAGGCCGTCTCGCTACGTTCTCTTGAACACATAACAATGCAATGTGGATGCATCTTAACATTTCGCTTCTCGAGCTGCCATTTAACAAGGGATCTATAAGGTGAAAAGGTGTACCCTTTCTCCAATTTTTCCATGCCTGCAGTACACAATCACAAAAGCAACTAAATGCGTTTTGTAATTTCACATGCGCAAGGAGAAGCTTTATAGATTTTCACTAACTAAATTACTGGACAAAATTCCACAATTTATACTCACGTAGCCCAGTAGGTGCTCCGAAGTCCCCGAACTGCTGTTGTATGAATTCTTCTTGCCACTGATGATCTCTAATACCACTACGCCGAAGCTGTAAACATCGGTCTTCACAGAGATCTCTCCATGTCTTACATATTCAGGAGCCATATAGCCACTGTTACATGTAAAACAAATGGATCCAAGAATCATCAATGGGGAAACTGAAATTGGTGCCCGTTATCATTGTATGCTTTCCTTGAAAGGATGAAATAGACGAAGGAGCATTAGGTAAGTCTATTTTAAACTTACAAAGTTCCCGCTATTTGTGCAGTATTTGCTCTACTTTGGTCCAAAAGGAATAACCTTGCCGTGCCAAAATCAGTTATCTTGGGATTCATGTTCTCATCCAGCAGAACATTGCC